GTGCGTCCCAGATAAAACGAAACCGAGAATTATCGATGTTTTATCATAACTTAATCACAATTATAATTGACAAATGACACATATTTGGAAAGCTTAGATCCTCTTCTTTCATTTGATGCAACTCATAATAATGCATATTTCACGTATGAGTGATTAAAATCAATTTTGAGAGAGGAAACCGAAAAGTCGTTTGGCGGGCGGTATCTGAATTTCAAAGAGAAAATCACATTTCTAGAAAGTTGATTATCTGCCCTTTCATATAGCACCTCCGAATTCAGGAAAAATGAGCTAGGAATAACAAAGTCCTGTTTGTTTAAAGTGGTGCTTGCATTTCCATAATTTTATTAAACGAATTCGTTTTCACTGGCTGCCTACCGTATCAACAAACGAAATTAGGGACTTTTATATTGAGTGGACGAGAACACGACGAACGCCGACTGATCATGCGTGTTGACGTACTCAACTGCCCATGTTGACTACAATTAGAAATCTTTTAGATTGCTTTCGACGATATACATGCATGCAGGAAGTAACACTATGAACATGACAGACAAAGAAAGAGGACAAAATATACAGTTCCTCATTCTACCCTCAACAATAGGCCATTTTCGTAATGTAACCAAATTTAATGCATAGGTCTTTGTGAAGTGCACAATAAAAATTATTTCATTCACCTGATAGGAATAATAGTATTTCAATAGTCAGAATGCAACTGCATATACTAAGTGTTGCTAGGTAGGTCAAGCCATAATGTTTGTCCAACCTGGCAACAACTAATGTTGCAGTTAGGATTCTGTCTATTGAAATACTATTATTCTTATCAGGTGAATATAGTTTGTATTGAGGCACTTCACAAAGACCTATGCATTCAATTTGGTTACATTACGAAAATGGCATATTGCTGTGGTAGAACATTCCTTCACTGCTATTATGTAACAATGTGTAGAACAGGTGAATAGCAGGGAAGGAATGTTCCTTTGTCTACCTGAGGAACTGTATATTTTATGACGACGCGGCATATATACTAGTACCGTACTAGATTTAGGAAAATCAAGGTTGACGCATTCTCGATCGCTGACTGAGACGACGTGACGCATGCGCAGTGCCTTAAAATGACGTCACACGTTGCAGTCAAAGCTGTCAACGTGCAAATCTAAAAGTCCCTAATAACAAAAGACTTAACTCCGTTTCGTTGACAATCAGCCGTAGACGAAAGACTTCATGCATGGCTGATTGTCAACGAAACAGAGTTAAGTCTTTTGTCAATTCTGCTTTTTGCAACGGCAGGCAGCCAGTTAAGACGAATTTGTTTGCTAAAATTATGAAAATGTAAGGGCTACTTTAAACAATCAGAACTTTGTCATTCCTTGCTCATTTTTCCTGATTGAGGTGTCATATTATGAAAGGGCAGAAACTCAACTTTCTAGAAATGTGATTTTCTCTTTGAAATTCAGATACCGCCCTTAGCCCGGCAGCCCAGAGCACTTTGATCAAGTGAACGAGGTACCAATATCTGAGTATTGGAACATTTGGGGAAAAACCTAGGATATCCAAATGTGGACGTCTGCCAGGGTCCCTCTGCTGCATGTGGCCCCTGGGGCCAGTTGAGAGGGGCCCAAAAATGCTTCTGATCAAACGAACGAGGTACCACTTGAAACCAGTGTTAACTAAATGCATGGATGCCACAGAGCACTGAATGGCCCATACCAGACAAATTTTCTGCTGCAAAGGGCCCGCCAGACGCCCCCAAAGGGGGCCCCCTAAAAATGCATTTGATCAAACGAACGAGGTACCACTTGAAACCAGTGTTAATTTAATGTATGAATGCCACAGAGCACTGAATGGCCCATGCCAGACAAATTTTCTGCTGCTAAGAGCCCGCCAGACGCCCCCAAAGGGGGCCCCTAAAAATGCATTTGATCAAACGAACGAGGTACCACTTGAAACCAGTGTTAATTTAATGCATGAATGCCACAGAGCACTGAATGGCCCATGCCAGACAAATTTTCTGCTGCTAAGGGCCCGCCAGACGCCCCTAATTGTGGCCCAAAAGCCAGTTTATGTAGCATTGACCCAGATTAAATATGCAAGGTACCACTCAAAACTAGTTTTGAATGGTCGGGTTTATCTTATAGACTACGGAAATCATCATGCCAGATAAATGTCCTCCTGCAAATGGGCCCACACCCCACAAACTCACTGAAAAAAAATGGGCCCCAAATGGGCCATGATCAAATGAAGGAGAAACCACTTGAAACTAATTGTAACTTTATAGTTGAATGCCACAATGCACTGAATGGCCCATGTCAGACACATTTTCTGATTCTTAGGGCCTGCCAGACGCCCCTAAAATGTGGCCAAAGGCCCATTATTGTATCATTGTTTAATATAAAGGCCTACTTTAGGTACGACTCAAAATCGATTTGGTATGGTAGTGTTCATTCTTACGGACTAAGAAAATCACCATGACATACTATTTTCTGCTGCAAAAGTGTTGAATGACACCCTAAAAAAGAGGAGCCCCAAATGGCCCATGAACGAACATAAGAGAAACTACACAAAACCAATATGAATTATTAAGGCATATTCCACAGAATAAATAACTGCCGATGCAAGACAAATTTTAATCTGCATAGGGCCCACCAGATAAAAAAAAAAAGGCTGGCTCAATGTGGATACTGGGCCTGAGGAAATATACATTAACGTAAATCAAATTTGCCATGTAACATGACATTTCAAGCAGATTACATTATTGCAATCCTAAATTTGATTACAGAATTAAAATGTGGTGTATACTACTAAATAAATATTCTACTTAAGACATGTTACCTGATTTTACTTCAATTAACAGCTAACAGTAACATATAGCATATGCCTATATGTTTCTTAAATACCATACGTTACAGGGGATCTATTGTACTCCCTCCTCAGGTCATATAATTATATCTTTGTATCTCTATGTCAGTCCTATGTAGCATACATGTACATGTACTTACATGTTTTAGTGTTTGACTATTTGATATGATGTATCCATAGAGATATATATTAATAAGTGTTAGTAGTATATAGCTCTATGGATGTATATTATGCTTCCACTGAAATTGAATAAATGAATGAATATTAATGCCCTACACTGGACCAGCTATTGTTTTTGTTTCTTTAGCTATATTTCCAGCTCCAAGCAAACTTTCCAGTGTGGAAAAACAACATTTTTAAAGAACACTTGGATCACATTAGCCTCTACACCTTATTCGCAATCTAAAGTTGTTGTTGTTGTTTGTTGTATTTTTTGGCATGCAGTCAAATCTGACTATTTACGCCTATATAGTCTAGTTCTTTAGTCGTGTTGAGGTAGTAGTCCTATTAATTCCTAGCTTGGAAACTCTGTGCGCCTGTGCTTCGCTGGTCTACTGCTGGGGGATGTACCATCCCAGCCAACCCTAGCTGCTACGTCCAATTATCCAATGGACTGACCAACATATTAACGGTATATCCCATTGATTTTTGTTTCAGCTTGTTCAGTTAGAATGTAGGCCTAGTTGTTTATACTCGTGTATAACTCTCACCTGGTGCAAATGTTTCTATACTGGATGAAATATGAAGCGATGTATTCCCATTTCCGATATTACACTCATAATGGAGGAATATGACATTCCAACTGAGATTCACTAGTTCACCATCCGGAAGCATTTTATAAGGTAGACATACATGAAAATAATATTTGCAATGTTTGCTAAATTATGGCATTTACTCTCTTTCCTATTCAACGTTCAACACAATTGAATGATTCTTGCAGTCTTGCTATAAACCAATATGCTATCAAGTAGGCTCTTGAATAATGAGGGTTACAAGCTCGATTTGTCGAATTGTATTTATATCATTCCAATAAATTCTTAGCCTCTACAAGAGTCTAAGGGCATATGCCTCAATTACAGAGAAGGAATGCTGTCATTAGTTACAATACTGTGTTATGGTTGAAATTTAAAATTGATTGGAAGAAAGTATTCCTCATTCATTGTAAAATGCAACCTGATATAAATGACAGTGTTTCTTTTTCTTAGGCCTATGGCATGAAATGTTTTTCCATACAAGTAACTTTGCTTAGAGCAGCTAATAGCTAAAGAAACTCAACAATTGCTGGTCCCGTGTAGGGCATAAACGGTCATTCATTCATTTCATTTTAATGGAAGCATAAAATATTACAGGAGAATTTTTAAAGGACGAGACACATCACATAAACAGAGGATTTATTTATGTTGGGGACCGGGGTAAAATGCAATAAATTATTGAAAATTTATTGCAGTTTCTGTTTTTTTATTTTATTTATGGAAACTGCCCCCTACCCTAGCCCCCGCTGCGTACAGTCATGGTTCAGTGACAAAGCAATAACAAAATTATTCAATAGACTTTTCGGTTTCTTCTCTTCAAATTGATTTTAATCACTCAAGCGTGAAATATGCATCATAATGATTTGCATCAAATGAAAGAGGAGGATCTAAGCTTTCCAAATATGTGTCATTTATTAATTATAAATGTGATTAAGTTATGATAAAACATCGATAATTCTCGTTTTCGTTTTTTCTGGGACGCACTGTACTACGCCTACCTTAAACTCGGTCATTAAACAAAAAACAAAAAACAAAACAAAACAAAGATCCGCCCTTATATATCTCTATTAACATTTCTCATTGAATGTCTCTCAAATCAAAATACAGTTATCAAAACATCTGGCCAACCTCATCGGTCCTATCAATCATTACACGCGAACATTAATGATCAAAGAGGCGCGGATTAAACAAAAATCAAAAAACAAAACAAAACAAAGATCCGCTTTTATATATCTCTATTTACATTTATCATTGAATAAAAAGTCTCTCAAATAAAAATAAAGTTATCAGTTATCAAAACATCTGGCCAACCTCATCGGTCCTATCAATCATTACACTCGAACATTAATGATCAAAGAGGCGCAGATGGAGAAAGTGGCGATGAATAATTCCATAAAAGGGAAGCCATAATCGGTTCGAGTCATCAATTCAGGAGCTCATCTCACCCGCAACAAGCTGCCTTAAGAACCTTCTCACCAGATTGGTAAGCATCTATTTTCTACTTTGCAGACTACTAATTACAGAACTTTTCTTCCAAACCGATTTTTCGATAATATGTATTTTGGCCCGTTTCTAAATCTTGTTTCGTTCAATTGGCATATGACTCTTTTTTATTTTTTATTGTTCATCAATATAATGCATAATATATTCTACAATCTGCCTTATAGGTTTATTTACTTTTAATTCATGATTTTGATGTATAATGTTTACGCTTGATTTGTTATGTTTCCTATTATATATTATTAGTCTTCGGACTACAATCGTGTTTCGGTGTATGAAGATATCAATCATGTAGAGGTGATGTGGTCCTGTGGAAGAGTCAATCAAGACCGGATTACCTAATGTATCGTTATTAAGTTCGCACATTTTAATGTTGGACAAGTCTATTGAACTAGGTTTTCAGTTGGATATTGCAAAGGTATTTGCAATCTTATATACTGTAAGCATCACCCATTCAATTTATCTCTATAGTCAGCAGCGTGAGTATCAGATTTTTCATTTTTTTTAATGGCAACCTGCATCGGGCAAATTATAAATTTGTGCCGCCCCTATCCAAAACTTATGAGCTCAAAATATTAAAAAGCTTAGTTCTCCTTCATTTCGTTTAGAAATTATAGCAATGTAGTGAATTTACGCATTTAATCCGGGAATTGGTAACCCAAAGTTTGATAAGTCTAGGAGTTATCTAAGCGAGGGAGGAAAAGCGACCATGTGGTGAAATTGATTGATTGATTCTATTCGTTAAATACTAGGCCTAAGTAAATTTGCATTAGATGAAAAAGACACAATAGAAAGGAAATACCTCATGCAATAACGCGAGAAAGCGAATCTTCAGAAAATCGTGTTGGAATATAAATAGAATTACACTGATTTGTAGACAACTTTCTTAAGTTTGATACTCATGTCAGTCTGAAAAATATGTAAATTGGCACATTCTGTTAAAATATTTCCAATACAAAAGAATCCTAACGGGTTAGGCTTCTTTTATTATAAATTAAAATTCATGCAAAATTTGCATTTTCACCTTTCAAAACACGATTTCTTCAGCGTTTATACATGTTTTGGGGAAAAATTCCAACCGACGGTGATACAGAGTTTAAAAATGAAAAAATACTAGATAGATAGATAGATAGATAGATAATTTATTGGTCCATATTCAAAAACATAGAAAATTGGCCTCCACTGGCAGCACATAAACATAATACAAAGTAGTTACAAAATAATTGATATGTCACATAATGTACATAAATTCACACGAGATCATGACATTAACAAAAAAGCATAAGTATAAATTACATAGTAATAGGGAAAACTTAAAGTAGATATTCATTGATTTTAAAAACTAACTTTATTTTCATTATTGCAAAGTTGAAACTTTGATTCGACAAGGTTATCAAAATTCAATGCTTGGGAACATTCGAAGTAACGATTATTATTTATTACAAAACGCTTAAATACAGCCCCGGCATAGCACCTGAAGAGTTCTCCGAACGCTGCTGAGATGTGTGAGATCACAGTATGGACATCACTTGCACAAGCAGACGATGTCCCATGACATCTCACACATTTTCAGTGCCTGTGTTTTCATCTTCTCTTGAGTTCTTTCTCTTACTTCACTACCGTCAGGCTAATTCTATTGCCTCACTCTAAACCCCGCGCAGGGTTTTATTTTGATGACAAACGCAGCGATACAAAAAAAGGAATCTGTCGCTTGTAAACAAATTAAGACGCCATTGTATATTCAGCTGCACACACCGGGGTATGTACAGCGTTTCAAGAGGGAACAAATGCCGTCCTTAATATCAATCCGGGGGTTTCCAATTTGAAAGTCTGGTTTCTTTGATTGTTAATTCAGCCCTATCCTGTGTATTTACAAGCAAAATATTTTAGTTATCAGATTCTGGTCATATCCCCTTTTGAATGGTTTGACATGCCATTACATTTATATACACTAAACTCATTATAATTTGAGAAAAAATAGCTTTGCAATTATGTTCATTCTCTATGCGATGTCGTCTGCTTCGGCGGTGTTGGTCCATATAGTGACGTCATTAAAACATCGTTATTTTTCCGGCGAATCTCTCGTATATCCCAGCTGCTATGGAGGTGGTTGTATTTGTATTTTTTAAAATCACCCGATATGTGGTTGACCTAAAACTTGTCCGATGTCCATATGTTAGCTTACCAGTTTCTAGTGATACATTAGTTGACATATTTGTGATCTTCTTTGAATTTCACCTTTAAGAAAGAAGTCGACATTCAAAGATTGAGAAGTGAGAAAAAAGTCGTAAGGAGACTGAGGAGCAAAAATAGTAATAAGAGAGAGAGGGGAGAGGGGGAAAGAGACAGAGAGGGAGGGGAGAGATAGAGAGATAGAGAGATAGAGGGAGAGAGAGAGAAAGATAGGAACGAAAGGTGGACGTAAGGAGAGAAGAGGGTATAAATAGAGAGAGGGGAAAGAAAAGGAAAGGAAGGGGGACGAGTTATACACGACACATGTAACTGTCTATCTGAGAGGTAATAGACCAGTTTCGCAGTGTATCCACGTTGAATGCGCAGGTCCCCGCTAAGTGCGCGGACACGAATGACTCCTCCCACCCGCCAGGAACAATCGTATTCCAACAGGCAGAATGCGAGCTGCACACGAAAGACGCTACCAGGCTGGCAATACATTAGAGCTCGCCCAACCTAGCAACAACCAACGTACGCAACTCACACCCCGCCCACCAAAGCACATGCCACTCCCAACGGTGAATGGAGCCACCCGCATCCAGGCACCCCGACAAAGACCCACGCACCCAACCCGAACCCACTGCGAAACTGGTCCATTATGTTGCACATTTTAAAAAACCGGCTTTATGGTACTAATTATGCGTAAAAACAGAGCAGAGGCAAGATTGAACGGTGGGTCAATTGGCAGGTGTTAGAGTTACAATTACAAGGAAAATATAAATATATAACTGGCTAACTGGCTAACTGGCTGGCAAGAGACTTTCAAAAGGGTCATCGCTTGACATTAGCATTGCATGAATGACATTCGGTACAAAGGATTGTCTGTAACGACAGCGGTTGCTCCTCGGTACGCGTAGGCGAATACCTGAGCGATTGAATCCAAAGAAATGATGTAATGGATGTGATGGGTCATTCATTATTGTGTGAACTTTAAGTAACATACGTTTTTCATACACAGTACTGATAGGGGGAAGATCTGAATAAATTAACCGCTGGGCAATTTTCCTGGGTCTATCTAACTTTCTCCGATTTTGTTTTGAAAGATTACCAAAAGTGCACAAAAAATTGAATGTCAGGATACTCTGTATAAGAGATTGGTAGAAGAGAACTAGAATCCTATTATCCACATGAAATTCCTTTAGTTTCCTTAGAAAGTATAACCTTTGACTCGCCTTGCCTGCTACGATTTGGGTGTTCCTATTCCAGTTAAGTTTATTATCAACAGTTGTTCCCAAGTACTTATATTCAGAAACTCGCTCAATGCTTTGATCATGGATAACCAACGAGTCAAGAGGCTGAGAGGAACGACGAAAGTCAAATACCATTTCCTTGGTCTTTTTTACGTTAAGAACTAGATGGTGCCGATCGCACCAGTTTACAAATTGATCAACTTCTCTAACATATGGGCTGGAATCTCCTTGAAGGAAACCAGTTATCACAGTGTCGTCTGCGTACTTAATTATTGAACAATTATTATTGGTGATGGTATAGTCACTAATATAGAGCGAGAAGAGAATTGGTGAAATTACACAGCCTTGAGGAGCACCTAGATTCAGACATTTGATGATAGAGTTCAGATTATTACACTTAACCCATTGTGGTCTGTCTACAAGGAAATTATGGATAATCCTAACTAGACATGGTTTGACATTCATATTAAGTAGCTTATCTATCAGTATGTAAGGAACAATCGTATTAAAGGCACTTGAGAAATCTATGAACACAGACCTAACGTAAGACCTAGGAGTATCCAAATGTTGATACAGACCCTGTAAAAAAACAAGTACTGCGTCTTCTACACCTCTATTGTTCTGATATGCAAATTGAGTCTTGTCGAAAATATTAACCTGATGGTTTCTAAGGTGTTTTAACAATAACCGTTCAAAACATTTCATAGGATTGCATGTAAGGGCTACTGGTCTATACTGATTCAGTTCACTAGGGTTTTTCATCTTAGGAACTGGAATAATAATCGAGGATTTCCAAAGACTAGGGATCCTACCAGCATTCATGATCAATTGGTAATACGTGTAAAAACATAGGCAAGTTGTTGACTACACATGTTCAAAACCTTATTAGAAATGTGGTCTGGACCAGATGCTTTGTTTACATTTGTCTTCGCAAATACATTTCGAACTTCATGTTCACTAAAGACAATTACCTCATTTGAATCAATTACAATATTTGACAGCCTATCTATTATTACATCATTCTCTGTAGAAAAGTCATGAACATCGAATCGGGCATAGAATTCACTAAGACTATCAACAAAATCCTGTTTACAATCCATTACTCTCCTATTAGTGTCCTTATAACCGGTCATTGTTTGCATTTGCTGCCATGCAGCTCGTGGGTTGTTTTCATTAAAGTTCCTTTCCAGTTTTCTTTTATACAGCACTTTAGCTTTCGCGACTTGCCGGTTGATTTCTTTCTGTATCTCCTTAACACATGACTTCTCTCCTGAAAGAAAAGCTTCGCGTTTCCGTTTCAATAACACCTTCAGTTCCTGAGTAATCCATGGCTTGTTGTTTGGATATGACTTTACATCTTTAAGAGGAATCGAAGATTCAACGCAGAAGTTGACGTACTCGGATATAACTGTAGCTGCTTCGTCTATCGACTCAGCTGAATCTACGAAGGTGTCCCAATCTGTGCAATCGAAGCTAGCACGCAGTTCCTCTATGGCTTCGGAGCTCCACACACGCCGTTTCCTGGCAACCGGTTTGCTGCTTTTCAGCTTCTGTCGGTAAGACGGGAGGAGAAAAATGTTGTTGTGGTCGGAGTTACCCAACTGTGGACAGGATTTCGATGTGAATGCGTTCGGAATGTTGCAGTAACATAAATCAAGGGTGGCATCGTTACGTGTAGTCTGTTGAACATATTGATTGTAGGTCGGAAGCACCTCATCCAATTTGCATTGATTAAAGTCACCCAAAATAATCTTAGCTGAATCCGGTGATAGTGCCTCGAGTTCATTGACCTTTGAGGCGATGAATTGACTGGCGATATCAACATTAGCATGTGGCGGAATGTATGCAACTAATACGAAAATCCTGTTAATCTCCCTCGGCAAGTAAAAAGGTCGAAGCCCAACAACTAGTAGTTCGTAGTCGGGTGTACAAAACTTCTCTCTCACAGTCCAGTTATTGCACCACTTATGATTAACAAAGACACAGACACCACCTCCACGGGATTTACCTGATTCTGAAGTTCTGTCACCTCTTATAATCTCGTAATCTCCAATGTCTATGGCGCTGTCCGGGATATTCTCGTGGAGCCATGTTTCCGTAAAGCACAGAAGGCACGATTCTCTATACTCATGAAGAAAACGTATATTTGCACGGAGTTCGTCAATTTTGTTGGGTAGGGATCTGACATTACCAAAAACGATAGAAGGCAACGGTGGTTTAAATCCTCGTTTCCTCACTCGCTGTCGAACCCCACCTTTCTTTCCTCTTTTCCGTGGTAGAATTTCACGCGGGAAATCGGCGAAACCACGTGGTTTGCTACCCGGGGCCTGGGCGGGCCGGTAGCTCAACAGTTCTATTTAATTCGTCGTATATTTATATATATTATAGTAGTATAATAAGTGTACTGTTATACATGTCTTGGGGGAAAAATTCCAACCGACGGTGTTTCAGCGTTTGAAAATAGAAAATTGCTATTCTATTCAATTCGTCGTATATATATTCTTGCACTAGCAGTATAATAAGGACGAGCATTTTCGAGAAATGCGGAACCAGCAAAATTGGAATAACGCCCAATTCTCGTTTCCTTTGTTCTTCCTTTTTTTTTAACAAAGAGAAGCTAAACTAGTCAAGATGATGATCAAAGTAGCTCTTGTGCTCTGTGCTATTGTGGCAACCAGTATGGTGTGCGCAAAGAATTTTGAAGAGCAAGCAGAGCAAGATGCATTGGACACTTGTAAGTATATAAGTCAGCCAGGGACGCCAATGCTTGAAAAGTTTTGATCGCCCTTTCAAGAAAACTGTCATAAAATCCCTATAGCTATTGTTAGAAAAACTGTGAAACTAAGACATTTCGTTAACACATAATATTGTCGTACGATTCTCTTTTACTCGGGGGGGGGGGGGGGGGGCAGTAAGAATATAATTGGTACACATGACCACAGGTTTTCCATCCCCTCCCCGAAACAAGTTTTTATCCAATCTTCAAAACTTACCCTTTCGATTTTTTTTATCGAAAATTTCCCCACTATACAAGGTTAACCCCTTTAGAACATGTCCTCTTAAAGGTATTATGTCCAATTTGCAGGCCAAAACATGAAAAGGTTAATGTTTCCAACGGCATTTGAAAGATAATATTAATTTAGAACTTCCCTCAAAACGAAAGGGGCTTGAAAATTCTTTTAGTTGGAAAATAACGAGCATTAGTTGTCGAATCGACTACGTGATTGCAATCATTTTAGTAATAGTCTGATTTTCAGACCCTTGTACCGAATGGACGTGCGTTTGTGCTGCGCAAAGATTCAATCAGTTTAATTGTGGCAATTACAAGAAGTGGGTTATTGATGTAAACAAATTCTCATGTACCTTTTCAACTCATTTTATGTATGTTATTACCAAAGAAAAAAAGAGAAGTCAATCGGTCACTCAATAGTGTCTGACAGTAAAATCTAGAAAGTAAACGGGTTCCCTTGCATAATTTGAATAATATAACACTGCTAACGTTTACATCTCACAGATAAGACATACGTCACATATTCATAGTTCCTGCAAATTTCTTCATAATTTGATGTTGGTTGCAAATGGGACATAGGCCTAGTACCTTTAAGAAGATATTATTAATCCCTTAAAAATTGCTTTAAATAACTATTATTGATATTGACAGCACAATGTCTAGGCAAGTGTACTCTAAATGCGTTTCAACAAACACAACAGACCCCCCCCCCCTCATTTTTGCCTAGCTATTTGATTCCCTAAATGCGTCACTCGCCTTAACCAGCCGAAACCTTTTTGGTCGCGAATGTGTCTACAGCAATATATATTTGCTTTATTTTCATTAAATCTCGTTTCTATGGCAACCATGCAGTGCTGAATATGATGCTCTCGGAGGAAGTTGCATCTCCTGATGACGCTGTTGCCTTGCAGAGCTGGTTCAGTCGCGCGGCTCATAAAGTCAGTCATGCAGTTAGGAGTGGCATCCACGCTGGACAGGGCGTGTGCTCGGGGCTTGGTCTTTCTCCAGAAGAAGCTCGTAAGTATAGCCGCAGAAATATAATTATGAACAAAGAAAAACAATAACAATAATGGCACTGATGATAATGATGATGATGATGATGATAATGGTAATTGATAATAATATTTCGTAAATAATAATTATTAGTATTATCATCATTATCCTCATCATCCTCATCATCATCATCATCACCATCATCATCAGTAATAATGATACTATCATTATTTCATCATCATTAATATTACTGGAAATAATTCAAACGTTTGGACCAGGTTCATGTGTGGAGACAGCTAAAAAAGCCAACGGGGTTTATTGGTGCTGCCACCGAAACATCGTACCACGTACCCATTTCAATCCTGGGTGGGGAGAAACAATGAAAATAAAATGCCTTGCTTAGGGACATATAGTAAGTGCCTTGATGGCTATTGAACTGACAATCTTAGATTCTCCGGTGAGTGTTTTAACCCCCCCTAAAAATATCAATAAGGCCCTTTTATTTCTTCTCATAATAGCCGCCCGGCACATTTCCCAAGGCATCCGGCCGGGCTTTTTTTTCATGATGGCCGCTAGCTTTTATGCTTATATTTTCCCCCTAAAAAACATTCTTTTAGCAGTATGTTTTTTTCATTAAAAAAACAAACAAAACAGAACAAAACAGGTGGCCTCAAAAAAAAAAGGGAGCGGGCGGCGCGGGGACGCTAAACATGATTTATTGTGTGAATATTTTTCCTAACTAGTCCCCCCTCCTCGTTTCATCATACTTGCAAATTTCATGTATATCTTAGGCGTTAAAATTCTGTCTGCGGTCCCAGGGATGAGAGAAGAGGATCTCAGCGAAGAGGATCTTCGAGCGATCTGCGCTGGTGCACATGCCCTTGGCCGTTAGACTCGGTACGTATTTTAATATAGTATTAATGACTGCTTTGAGAGAAATAGTTGTTTTATTACGCTCAAGGGAAGGTTAGAATTGTGCTATTCCCCGAGGCTTGCCGAGGGGAATAGCCCAATTCTAACCTTCCCGAGAGCGTATGAAAACAACTATTTCTCGAATATTAAAGCAGTCATTAATACTTTTATATGCCGAAAAAAAATAGACTAAAAAATGAAAAATTAAAAATATTTATAATTTTTGTCGAAGACGGGATTCGAACTCTTGCGTACAACAAGAGGTGTATCGAAAACCAACGCTTAGACCACTCGGCTATGGCCCGCCGTTGACATGCTTGGCAGTTTTCTCCAATATATACATTAAAATGGATTGAAACCGGCTTCGCGTGTGATGAATGCTTCGCAAAAGCTCCATATACGGACTCTTCTTTTACTTTTGCAATGCATATTGGCACGAACTTAGATCAAGATCTATCGGCAGATGTTGTTTTTTTGTTTTTGGAAGTTTATTTTCGTCTTCATGTCAACAATGCAAGATAAAATTGTCGGTAAGATCGATCGAGATTCAATTGTATTGAAATTACCGACCAATCCTTCGCACACATACGGCATCCTCCATCGCTCAAACCATTTTTTAACATGTAAACCTATGGGGTAACCATGGACGCTGACCAACTTTTTTTAATAACCATGGTTATTAAAAATATTGAAATGTTTTATGCATGGTTACCGAGAATTTTACAGGAACAGTTGAAGTTTATGAATGCAATTCGACCAATCAGATGGCTGGATTTCTTAAGTGAGGTATATAAAGAACAATATTAACATGAAACAATGTTATTATGCTGGTGAGCACTATTTTTTTTCTTTTTCGCCGTCGAAAATGATACCCCGCCCCCTTAAAGGTACTATGTCCCTTTTGCAGCCAACCTCACATGCTGTAGAACTTTGAAGGAATTATGGATATGTCATGTTTGTCCTATCTGTGAAATTTAAACGTTAGCAGTGTCCTCATATTCAAATTATGCAAGGAAACCCGTTTACTTGCTAGACTTCACTGTCAGACACTATTGAGTGACTGACTGGCTTTTTTCTTCTTTGGTAATAACATACATGAAAAGAGTTGTAAAGGGTACATGAGCATTTGCCTACATCAATAACCCACTTCTTGTGATGGCCAAGATTAAACTGATTGAATCTTTGCGCAGCATAAAACGTATGACTATTCGGTACAATTGTCTGAAAATCAAGACTATTACTTTTGGGCTCTATAGCCCTAAAGTCGATTTGACAACTAATTGTCGTTATTTTCCCACTTGAAGACATTTTCAAGCCCCACCTTTTTTAGGAAAGTTCTAAATTAGTATTATCTTTCAAATGCAGTTGGAATTTAACTTTTTCATTTTTTTGGCCTGCAAATGGGACATAGTACCTTTAAGCACCAGGGGAGGGGGGGGGGGCGTCTCCAAATAACGGTAAAAATTAACGTGTTTTTACCTATTTTTTTCCCAGGGGAGGAGACCCGGGCCCTCCGGATCCGCCTGGGGTGGGGGGTGTGGTGGCAAGCCTGGGCAAAACAAAACTATAAAAAAATCCACCACTTATAAACCTTTTACATGTATTTTGCTTTAACAATTTAGATACCTGTCAAATCTCAAGTAAGCAATGTTTAAGAATACAATATTGTATGCCTATACTTACGTTCTTACTCTGACATTAAAAAAGATACTTCTCTCAGTTTGGATGTTCCTGCAGTATCAGTTTTAGAATTGTTGATGATTGCAATTGTTCAATAGTGATAAATATGGAGTCATTAAAAGAATTATCTTCTAATAAGAAATACAATGTACATGGCATTATATAGGTCTATATGCTTCTTTCTTCTCACCGTACCCCCTCTCCCTTTCTCTCGTTCCCTCTCCATTTCCCATTCTTTCTCTGTCTCCCTTTTTCCCCCTCTGCCCCCTCCCCTCTCTCTCTCTTTCCTCTTTCTCTGTCTCTCTTTCTCCCACTCTCTCTCCACCGTTTTATGTCTCCCGGCCTTTCTCTCCCTCTCTCTCCCCTTTTCTCTGTCTCTCTTTCTCCTCCTTTCTCCCGTCTTTCTCTGATTCCCTTTTCTCCAGAACTCCTCATTATGTTTTAAACAAAATCTACTGTCTTCTTTTATTTATCACATAGGAAGGGATCGTGATACAACATTTGGAACGCTTGATGCTGATTCTTCCTTGAGAAACAATGAAATAAAAGCAAGAAATTGTCAACTTCCATCATGTTTTTGCAATTTCCTTATATTAATTAGAATCTTCTTTATCACTCCTGTATTGTTAAAATCCTTAAACCTTGTTTTCCCTCTAAAATGAAATGACGGTGAGTGGTTTTTGATTATTAATACATATTTTGCCTTTAATTTAATGTATCCAATCATTATACATCTTTCAAAGGTGTTTACAAATATGTAGGGTTAAAAGTACACCAACCTTAAAATCTAGCATAACACTACAGCTTTTCATCAAAAGCTTGAAATTAAAAATGTTCCCTCTGTTTTGCTCTTTTTTTTTCCTAAAAAAAAGTACCAACAACAAGACATTGTAAGCATGGTATAAGGGGAATAATAAATAGTATTGGTAATAATGCTGATAATAAAATCACATGAACTTGCATACCATAGCTAGCGTGTTTGTTTTGGATATTTTGTTACATGATATAAAACCAGCAGTGTATGATTGATAAAATATTGTTGGCATGCAGGGAAAATACGAAAAACAACAACACTTTGATGGGAAAAAGTGTGAGAGGCAAAAATAAAACAAAGTAAAAAGGTTAAATAGAAGAATGAAGAGAGAAAGAGAAGAAGAGGGAGCACGGGAGAGGAGAGATAAAGGAAGAGAAAGTGAGAGAGAGAGGAGGGGGGGGGGGGGTAGGGAGGCAAGGAAAGCGGACAAAAAGAGAAAGAGGAGTGATAACAGAAGAGACAACTAAAGGCAGAAAGGGAAAGAATGAAAGAGAGAGAGAGAGAGAGAGATGGGGTGACCAAGGTGATGCGAGAAATATGCACTTGAGGGGCATTTGAGATGGAGAGAAGAGAGAGGAGAGCAGAGAGGTCGGTTTATCTTACCTGTAAACCTATGGCTAGGACGGTCTTATATGCTAAAGGCACTTGCAGTGCCTTAAAAGGATGTCACATGTAGCAGTCCACTATGTCAACGTGCAAATCTAAAAGTCCATATTGCTTCCTCCGCGGCTACTTCGTTGCGGAGGCATACAAACAAAATTTTACAAAAACAAAACAAACAAAATATTACACTGCGATAAATTGTATGAATGGAATATATAGAAAGATCACTCAATCTGAATATATCATCTGCCGATACTTTTGTCTCTTCGATACAGACGGCTTCATGCCCTGTGCTGCCTTCAGGAGGTGGTTTTGACTCACTCTGATCACAAACCCATCTTCTGTGACTGTGTTGTTTGATATCATACCCTGTTATTAATATTGAATTAATGATATGCATTAAGGCAAACAAAAAGTAATGTATTTCTCGTCCGGTCTTTCTTCAAAAATCAGTGAGGGAGGCCTTTACTTTTTTTTTCCTTTTTTTTTTAATTTCTTTATATTTTTGTCAAGATGGCCGCCATTATAGAATGGCTGCCGAGACAAAGCTTTTGATCATATATTGTATGTATGTAAAGTAGATAATATTTTATCACATAACTTTGTCTTCGATTTGTCAAATCAGAAACAAAAATCAGAAATTGAATGATTTTCTCTCTCTTTCACAGACCACAAACAAGCACTAAATACTAAAGTGAAAAAAGTTAGTGCTTGCCTGTGGTAAATGACTATGTACTACATGTACAAACAAAACACAGTGGCACAGCAGTATATGATTGTTCTTTAATCAATGAGCAACGTTTAAACTACCGAGAACTAGTATAGAGATGTTAACAAATATCTACAGTGCAAGATGTCAAAATTAGTTGTCAATGACTATGATTATGGGACCTCAACATTCAACTGCAGTAGCATAGCTACCTCACATTCGACGCCTTCTGATGACGGCTTAAAAAGATTGCTATTAAAAAAGCTCGGTTTGGGCTGCAGCACTGAGAAAAATGTCATGGTTTTACAAGTTTTAGTCTCACACTCTTTTAAATACTGACATGAGGAAAGTTAAACATTCTCGCAATAATACATGCAGATCTGTATCAAAACTTAGTACCTGTTAGTTTTCAGTGGCCATATCTGACATTTCCGTTTAAAGGCGTAGCTGAGCACTGGTCAACCACATATAATTATATTGTGTAAAATATGTATCAAGCAAACCTGAGAAAACTTTAAAATCCTTACATTACTGCATGTTTATAGAACTTGTCTAAGGAGATGTAGGATGTTTCCCCCTCTTTTATAAGAAAAAATACATTAATAAGATAAAATAAAGTAGCATCAAAGCAATTATGATATAAGCCCATGCACGGCTCTTTCTTTTTCTAAATAAGGTGTAAAAACTACGTGCTGCTGCACATTTACATTTTACAAGCACACATTTCTATACCTGACAATTACACGCGTTTTTTTTTAATACTCTGATGTAGTTTCAAGTATAACTATGATTTCTAAAAAAATAAAATTGAAAAGACAAAATTGAAAATAACAAATATCGGTGCGGGCGGGTGGGGATCACGTAATTTTTGTAAATTGGCCTTATTACAATCAGAGCAGTTTACATTTACACAAAATCTATTGATATCAGTTACACTAAAGTATATATCTGGTTCAACATAATATATGTAAATGTAAAGTATGCTGGATTTTTTTTTGATCCTCAAACTTATGGTTCTATGACATGAAGATACACATAGCACCAGAGGCGGTGCTCGTGAAAGGAGGGGTAGGGGGCACAGTGCCCCCACTCTTTCGAGTACACCCAAAGCGACCCTTTTTACTTAGGAAAATGCCCCTATTAATTTGTTAAAGTGCCCCTTCCCCTTTTCACCTCTCATAAGTGCCCCTTTTAATTTGACACATACCCCTCATATTGCTCCGGTTGTCTCATTTTTGCTCGCCTGAACATTGCCAGCACAAACCACTGACCTCCTGGACGGATCATCGCCCATTTCCATTCACTATACGTTACGTACTAAAAGGCTGTATTATCTGACCGTTCATGAATATTCATGTATTTGCTTACCTCGGCAAAATGATTGCTTTTACTAAATGGAAAAATTACGGTGGGGGTTGCATGAAATGGACATAATGAACCAAGCAGAAGTTATCTATGATAATTCATGCTTCTTATCCTTCGCGTACTTGACCTATAATCTTAAAATCGCTTGGCAAACTGAGTCCAAAGTTCGACTTGTTTGACATGTGTATTATAGGCAATGACGAGCTTGAAACCTATTTTGATCAAATTACGGTGGGTTAACTTTCAAAAGTCAATGGGACTTGAGGGTTTCAATGAAAGAGCTAGTGATAACGTACGTCGATCGGGTTGGATGTGCTTTTCTTTTAAACAAAAAATAAATTTTTAACGATTTTTGGGGTAAAATTCCATAGGCTAACATGTTAGGCTGCTGACTCTGACGATAGGGGGCGTTGTGAAATGAGATTAAACGGAGCTATATGTTTATTTCGAAAAATTTCCATTTACCCTTGCAATAAGTGTCCATTTTTCATTCTCATAAGTGCCCCTTTTAATCTCTAGTAAGTGTCCCTTTTCATTTATTGATAAGTGCACCATTCACGTCTGATAATTGCCCTATTAAAATCTGAGAGGTGCCCCTTTCCTTTGTACACATTTCCTATGCCCTTTTTAATAACTACCCCTTTGTAACTCGAATAAGCACACCTTTTCACAAATGCCTCTTTTCACCTATGAAAAGTGTCTATTTTCATTCTCAAAAGAGCCTCTTTTCATTTCTGTTTCTGGTAAATGACACTGCAGGTACGAGAAGTTACTCCTTTTTCAATTCAGATAAGTGCCCCCTTCATGCACCTCCGATGATTGCCCCATTTCAAACGTGAGAGATACCCGTTTTACTTTTAGAATTACCCCACCCCCTGATAAGTGCTCTTTTTATCACTAATCACCGCCCCTTTTCATCTTAATTAATTGCCCCTTTTATTTTGACACATGTCCCTTTTCCTTCCTAATAAATGCCCCTTTTTTTACTTATAAGTGCCCCTTTTCTTTCAACAAATTGACATTTTCCTTTATTATAAGTGCCCCTTTTCATATTTGGTTAGTGCCCCATTTCACCTCTGATAATTACCCTTTTAACAATGATACGTGCCCCTTTTCCTTTCTAATAAGGGACCTATCCCCTTTTCGCCTCTAACATCTGATAGTTACCCCTTTTCCGTCAACAAGCACCCATTTCTTATTCTCATAAGTGCCCTTTTTCATCCGTGGTGAGTGGTTCTTTTTTAGGTGAAAGAAGTACCACATTTTCACCTCTGATAACTACCTTTTGTACTTTGAGACGTGCTCCTTTTCTTTTCTAATACGTGTCTTATCCCTTTCGATAAGTGTCCCCCTTTTTTATCATTAAAACAGCCCCTAATTTTAAGCGACTAGAAGCAATTTCCCCCAGAGCTCGTTCGCTACGCTCGGTAGCATTTATAGATGATATAATTATGTTACTTATCAAAGGTCTTTTCAGTCTTCCGTTATGAGAATGTGCTTAAAACCCCATCAGGATTAGTTTTTTCCTCTTTATAAGATTTAATTTTCGCACTGCGACCTCACAAATCTTTACATTTTCAGACCATCACACCCAACTGCAAAGTATGATGCTTAAGCAATATCTTATATCACGTATAAATAAAAAGAAATATTGAAATCATCCCTGATAATGTTACCACAATGTAGGGGTATAGTTATACCAATGTCTAAAAAATTGTTTATTTTAGCTTCGAGATTTCCCTTTGTAGGTGCCCCTTTTTTCAGAAAGTGCCCCTTTTTGTTGGTGCCCTCCACTTTGAAATTCGCTCCACCGTCCCTGCATGGCACCCAGTTTCTGTATATACACTCAAAAAATTCAGACCTACAATTCAAAAGATTTGGAAGACCAATAATCTTCATAAACTTACGAAAATACAGTAAATGGGGAAATTTCATTTTAAGAGCAGGCAGGATATTTTGTGCTTGTAAAGAACCATGAAAATCTTGAGTTCGCAAATCAAATTATAAAAATACTGTCTAAAATTTTCAGGAAAACTTATCAAACTTTCACCAACCAATTTCTTTGTGTATTTCTCAACAATAGCATCAACCTGAAGTTGAAAAATATAACAATAACTATTCATTTTATAAAACGGGGCCCAGTTCTGTTAAAAATTAATTTTTAAAGTAAAATTTAAATCAAATATACATAATACAACAGCAGCAACGAATACATAATTAAGTTACATAAGTTAAAAAATCCAATAACTAAACTATCATCACTAAATATTGCAATAAAATATAAACAATAACAACAAAAGTACATCATTACAATTACATCAATAGAGGACTCTCGAGCTGTGTAATAACTAAATCCCCCGTGGCGCATTCTTTGAGTAAGAGATGGCAACGCTTATTCAGAAACTGTTATAAATCTACATAAAATTTCAAAGTTCGAACAAGGATAAAAAAGATCCAATGTATATTTTATAAACATACAATTTGTTGTACGTCTCAATAAAAATCGAGGGCGCCAGGAGGGTCAAATCTGACTGACATGAGCGCTATACAAGAACCCACTATTATTATTATTATTATTATTATTATTCTACATACGAGAAATGTTAAACATCGAATTTCTATTTTGTTTTAATGGATGGAAAGTTTGTATTCTCTTTTTTTGCAAGGAAATACCCAGTTTCTTTTTGTGTCTTGACAAATGATTTAAATGCAATTTTAGTTGGTAAACTACTCTTGAAATTACAGGTGTATATGAAATATTTTAAGAGCAGGATTAAATATGACAAAAATTTGTTAGAAGGGGTACCAAAAAGCATTTCAAAAGTGGTTAAATTAAAATTTGAATCAACTTTGAGGTTAATTAATGTTAACACTTCATTTCAAATACCTTCTCACATTCACAAAATTGATTTTATACAAAAATGCATTCAAAGCAATAGCTTTATGAAAAACTTGGGAAATAAAAGGAACGTAAACGGGTATCTATGGTGCAACCAAAATTATTAACATGAATCTTATCCCACTTTTTATCTTGTGGTACAGTGAGTTTATCATGCCAATAATCATATCGATTTTGAGGAGAACACTGATTACGAAGTACTTTGTATGCATGTAGGAAGCCCCTGTTACATTTGCCCCGCCGTGTACTGTCGCCGGTCTCCCCAACATAGTTTATGGGGAAACGTTTTTTTTTGGTCGCGTGCCCAACAAAAGGTGCAGTACCCATTGTTCGAAATTATATAAACTTGGTACAAAAAAGAAGAAGGAGGGGGAGTTGGAATCTACCCCCACCCTTTTATGGTTGTTATGGGGCGAAGGGGGAGGAGAGTCGCGGAGGGGGGGGGGGGGGGGCGATGGTAGTGAGGTCCCCGGGCCCCCCGGCTCGGGTGGGGGGGGGGGGTACCTAGATTTAGTTTGGCCGGGGATGTGCCGCTCAAGCCTCGGAACCCCCAAACGTTTTTAGGGGTCTATTTTTCTCGAAAAATTGTGCATATTTTTGAAATTTTGAAAAAACGGACCCATTTCTAATGGTATTTCCGTTAATAGCGGGACCCATGTTTAGGGATTTTTTGTAAAAAAGTGACCCATTAAAGCGGTTCACCCCCGTATGTTCTTATATGTGAGTCCTCTCCCCACCCGGGACTCAGAAGGGAGGTGGGGCGTGGATAATTATAACCTTTGGACAATTAAGACACAGGTCAATATAATTATGTAGCTTCAAAATATAAATCTGGAGTTTCACAACAATCAAGAAGTAATAAGGCATATACTTTCACTTCACATCCCCTCCTCTCCCTCCCCCTCTCTCTCTTTCCTCCTAATCTCCCTCTACCACTTCTCTCTCTCTCTCTCTGTCATAATCATTTATACCATGGGAATCTATCTAGATCTCTATGATGTATACACACACACATACACACACAACCGCGCACACGTACTTTTTTAAATTTTGTTTTATTTCTCCAAATGTGCAATGCAAACCATAACATACTATTGAATAAAATAAACGTGTTCAATATTGATGCTTTTACATAAACATAATTAAACACAAACTTATTTGCAGTATATATAACTTAGCAACAGAGTAAACGTATAAGTACCTACACATAATATGTCAATTGTAAATGATATACACTTATATACAAACAAAACAAACTTTAACAAATCTGGAGGTAATTTTACTGGAACAATCCTGCCCCCTCCCTGCCCCCCTCCATCCCACAAACATACTCACCCACCCACCCACATACTCACCCACCCACCCCCCTACACACACTACTCACAGTGGATGTCTGCTAACATTCTCAACTCAAGAAAAATATACTTAATAAGTTATCCAGGCCGCAAAATAGAGTTACCCTTTTAACAGGCTCACGGTGGAGAAGAAGAAAACAATCACGTACACACACGCACACACGCACACACACACACACACACACACACCACACTCAATCACTCTTCAATCTCTACCTATCATATTTCTCTTCTTGTTGTACTTTTGCCATGAACCCCCTATATTATATATTTTGTTTGCTTGTATCTAAATTAAGGGATTAACCTAGATAGGTATTTATACTTTTGTTATTCCTCCACTTAATTGGTTGTACATGTATCGTTTTGCACATTTTATTTTATGTTGGGTGGAAATAAATTCAATTCAAGTTCAATTCAATTCAATAATATTTGTCAGGGGTCACACTTAAGGCACCAAGCTTCGCTTATCTTTGAGCCTTGGCAAATTCTGTATGAACAAGTTTATATCTCTTTATATGTCTTTCAATTATATTGAGGTTTTATCATGTATTCAGAACTGAATACATAAATGAAATTAAATATTAAAATTCAAATAAATTCCATGACCTACAAATTAAAGTTGTCTTATTGTAATGAAGCTTCTCATGAACAATATAAAGCTAGGCTACGACCAACATAGATTATATTATTAAGAACAAATCAATAGGCTAAGGACATATTATATAATTGTAATAATGGATTGATTTTAAGCAGGCACGTAGCCAGAGTTTGATGGGTTTTTTTTTTGGGGGGGGGCACATACATGTAATCGATCGAGGTAAAAAAAAAAGGGGTTTAAAAACGTTCAACCGATCCTGGATTTTATATATATATATATTTACCCCCCGTGGGTACGTGCCTGCTTTTAAGAAATCCAAGCGCAGAAAAGTTTGAAACCTCACCAGGGTCTACCCGTATGTGAGGCCGGATATATTCTCAAAGTTGCAAGCTTTGGCATTGGTCATTTTGTGAGGCCAAGTCGGAGGAAAGATCGTATGCGGGTTGTTTCTTGATGGATTGCTGGCGCTGCGGTCAAGGGAGAGGTCATAAGTGTATCCATCATTATTTTGATAATCTATGATCTAAATGAATTTTCATTACATTGACCTATATACTTCATTTACCTTAAACTCGGTCATTACATAAAACAAAAAACAACACAAACAAAGATCCGCCCATATACATGTATCTATATTTCTTTTTCTCATTGAATAAAAAGTCTCTAAAATCAAAGCAAGGTTATCAGTTATCAAAACATCTGGCCAACCCCAGCGGCCCTATCAATCATTACACGCGAGCAAGAATGACCAAAGAGGCACAAATGAAGAAAGAGGTGAGGAAAAATTCCATAAAAGGGAAGCCATAATCGGTTCGAGTCATCAATTCAAGAGCTCATCTCACCCGCAACAAGCCAGATTGGTAAGCATCTATTTTCTACTTTGCAGACTACTAATTACCGAACTTTTCTTCCAAACCGATTTTTCGATAATATATATTTTGGCCCATTTCTAAATCTTGTTTCGTTCAAATGGCATCTGACCTATTTTAGTTGTTATTGTTCACCAATACGATGCATAACATATTATACAATCTGCCTTATAGGTTTATTTACTTTTAATTTATATCTTTGATGTTTAATGTTTACGCTTGATTCGTTAGGTTTCCCATTGTATATTATAAACATGACATCATTAGTCATCGATCTACAATCGTATGAAGATATCAATCATGTAGAGGTGATGTGGTCCTGAGGAAGAGTCAATCAAGACCGGATTACGTAATGTATCGTTGTTTTGTTCGCACAATTACAAAAAAAAAACACAAGTCTATTGAAATAGCTTTTCAGTCGGATATTGCGAAGGTATTTGCAATCGTATATACTGTTAGCATCACCCATTCAATTTATCTCTAAAGTCAGCAGCGCAAGTATAGGATTTTTAATTTTTTTAATGGCAACCTGGGCAAATGATGAATTTGTGCCGCCTCTATCCAAAAATTATGAGCTCAAAATACTCATAATTGCCATTTCATTTCTCGTTCATATCGTTCAAAAATTATAGCAATGTATTGAATTTTTTCAACGCATTTAATCCAGGAATCGGTATTAAACCCAAAGCTTGTAAAGTCTAGGAGTTATCTAAGCGAGGGAGGAAAAGCGACCATGTGTGAAATTGATTGATTGATTCTATTCGTTAAATATTAGGCCTAAGTAAATTTGCATTAGATGAAAAAGACTCAATAGAAAGGAAATACCTTCATGCGATAACGCGTAAATTGGCGCATTCTGTTAAACTATTTCAAATACAAAAGAATCCTAACGGGTTAGGCTTCTTTTATAATAAATGAAAATTCATGCAAAATTTGCATTTTCACCTTTCAAAACGCGATTTCTAAAGTGTTAATACATGTTTTGGGGAAAAATTCCAACCGACGTTGTTTCAGAGTTTAAAAATGAAAAAATACTTTTCTATTCAATTTGTCGTACATATATTCTAGCAGTATATTAAGGACGAGCATTTTCGAGAAATACGGAACCAGCAAAGTTAAAATAACTCCTAATTTGTACAGGATCGCATTACTTGGCCCACACCGATCCTTTATTTTTTAAACAAAAAGCACTAAAAATTGCCGACTTATATACTATTCAAATAGCTATCATTATGTTTAAGTATATTAATAATCTGCTCCCTTCGTCTTTTGATGACATGTTTAAGTTCAATAGCTCTGTCCATACCTACCCAACTCGCATATCCGGAAACTTTCATCTCACAAACCCAAGACTGTTAATTGCCTCTAAATCAATTCGTCATCATGGTCCAGACATCTGGAATAATCTTTCAGACAATATTAAATCTTGTTCGACCATATACTCCTTGAAAGCCACTCTAAAAAAAAAACTATCATTCAATCTTATGAATCCCATACTCCAAATTAATATATTCACATAAATATTCATATTCGTCATTCAATATCCTCATTTTACTCAACTGCTACATACAGCACCAGCACCTCCATCTGCAATGCACCCACTTGATCAGTAAATATCAATTTCAGTCACGAATCTTTTTATGAGGCCGCCATCAATTTCAAGCCTTACCGCTCTCGATGGCGGTCTCCTGCGTTCATTGATTGGATTATATATTATATTATATGTGTTATATTATATTATATTATATGTGAGAGTATGTATAGGTGTATATGTGTATGTGTATGTATGTATGCATGTGCTACAGTGGCGTACCTGGGGTACTCCGTCAGGGGGGGGGGGGGCAAGCGACCGAAACAAACAAAAAAGGCGATGCTAATTTTCACTTCTGGCGAGCGAGCGAGCCAAAAAAAAATCTTTAAGTAACGTTTGGTATATAAACTGGTATTGTTGCAAGTTGGGGGTGGGACCATTCACTTGTTAGCGACGTTAATTTCATTTTTTTGCAAACGAGCGTAGCGAGCAAGAAAAAAAATCACTTCTTTTTTAATAATTGCCACTTAAACTTGGTTCAATTGTCCCATGCAGGGCGATTTCATACCCATTTTAGCCAGTGAGCCAAAATACGTCTTTCTCTCAATGAATTGCTATATAAAATTTGTTTCATTGTTGCAGGTCGGGGGCGGGCACAATCGTGTTTAAGGCAATGTCAATCCCATTTTAGCGGGCAGGCAACCCCCTACATTTATCTTTTTAATGATATTGTAGCAGGTTAGTGGTGGGCACATAATTCCACGAGCTAGCGAGCGTAGCGAGCGAGCGAAAAAAATCACTTCTCTTTTATAGGGAAAATATGGTACATAAAACTTGGGTTCATTGTTGCATGTCAGGGACGTGATTATTAAAAGCGGTGTTATTTCTATTTTGGCGAGCGAGCGTAGCGAGCGAGCAAAAAAATAACTTCTCTTTTATAGGGAAAATATGGAACATAAACTTGGGTTCATTGTTCCATGTCAGGGACGTGATTATTAAAAGCGGTGTTACTTCTATTTGGGCGAGCGAGCGTAGCGAGCGAGCAAAATTTTTTGTAATGATAATTGGTTCATAAATTTCAGATTTTTTTGTTGCAGGGCAGGGCTTACACAATCATGTCTAAGGTGATGTTAATTCCGTTTTGGCGATCACGAGCACACCAAAACTTCTTTGAATAACGTTTGGTACATAATTATTAACTGGTTGTTGCAGGTTGGGGCGGGCACGTTAGCGGTGTCAATTCCATTTTGGCGAGCGAGCATAGCGAGCAAGCAAAAAAAATTCTCTTTTAATAGAAATTAATAAATAAACTAGTTTTTATTGGTGGAGGTCAGGATGAACGCTATCGCGTTTAAAGCGATTCAATTCATTTTTGGCGAGAGCGCAAAGAAACTCTTCCATTTTTAATGATATTGTTGCAGGTCAAGCGTGGGCACAATTGTTTCCAAAGCAATATCTATTCATTTTATTCGCAAGCAACTGTAGTGAGCAAGAAAAATGAATTACTCTCTTTTAGTAACATTTGGTACATACACTGTGTGTTATTGTTGCCATGGTTGCAGGTCGGGGCCCGTCGGGGCAGGCACAATTGTATTCTAGGCAATGCTAATCCTTTTCTTTTTTCAGGGGGACTAGCAAGTGAAAACATTTAATACAAAATAGGCTAGCAAGCAGTTCGCGCCAGCGAAGAGTTTCAAATTTGTTATATCACTTATATTTTCCTATTTTCATTTGTCTTAATTGTTCAGGGCCGTATGCGGAATATTTTTCTGGTGGGGGAGGGGGGAAAGATGCGTTAAAAGTTTTCGAAGAATCTCAAAAGCAAAAGGATTGAAGGGAGTTCGAGCGACCGAACTGGTCATGAGGGTACTTTTGCATTTTCAAAAGTAGAATTGAAGGATTTGGTATAGGCCTACACTACATTTTCAGAAAAAAACTGTACGTTTTCAAAATATCTGGGGTCAACTGACCCCCCCCCCCCTGGTGCGTACGGCCATGGTCTTTTTTTTTTAATTTCCCCATTTTTTTCCTTTCCTTTTCTTTTCCCTTTTTCTTCCTTTTCTCTTCTTCTTTCTTTTTTCTTTCCTTTTCCTTTTTTTCCTTTTTTCTCTTTCTTTCCTTTTTTTCTTCCCTTTTCTTTTTTTCTTTTTCTTTCCTTTCCTTTCTTTTCTTTTCTCTCCCCTTTTTCTTTTTTTCCCCTGGAGCCCGTCAGGGAGGTACGCCAGTGATGTGCTATGTATATGTATATATATATATATATGTATATGTATGTATATGTGCGTATATATGGATATATATATATCTATAAAAAAAAAGTTTAAGCTCACTTCCTTATTTTGTATTCATTATGTATCATGACTTTATTGTTTATCTTATGAATTGTTTTGTATATTATCTTTGTAAACACATTTTATATTATGTTTTGTATTATTTTGAACGCAGAAATAAAAGCAAACAAACAAGCAAACAAACAAACAAATTCTCGTTCCCTTTGTTCTTCCTTTTTTTTTAAACAAACAGAAGCTAAACTAGTCAAGATGATGATCAAAGTAGCTCTTGTGCTCTGTGCTATTGTGGCAACCAGTATGGTGTGCGCAAAGAATTTTGAAGAGCAAGATGCATTGGACACTTGTAAGTATATAAGTCAGCCAGGGACGCCAATGCTTGAAAAGTTTTGGTCGCCCTCTCAAGAAAACTGTCAGAAAATTTCTATAGCAATTGTCAGAAGAACTGTTAAATTAAGACATTTCGTTAACACATAATTTTGTCGTACGATTCTCTTTTACTCGGGGGGGGGGGCAGTAAGAGTCATGACCACAGGTTTTCCATCCCCTCCCCGAAACAAGTTTTTTATCCACTGTTCAAAAGTTACCCTTCAACTTTTTTCTCAAAAATTTCCCCACTAAAAAAGGTTAACCCTTTAGAACATGTCCTCTTAATGGTACTATGTCCCATTTGCAGGCTAAAACATGAAAGGTTAATATTTCCAACGGCATTTGAAAGATAATATTAATTTAGAACCTTCCCTCAAAGCGAAAGGGGCTTAAAAATGTCTTTTAGTGGAAAAAAAACGAGCATTAGTTGTCGAATCGACTTTAGTGATTGCAATCATTTTAGTAATAGTCTGATTTTCAAACCCTTGTACCGAATACACGTACGTTTTGTGCTGCGCAAAGATTCAATCAGTTTAATTTTGGCCATTACAAGAAGTGGGTTATTCATGTAAACAAATTCTCATGTACCTTTACAGCTCATTTTATGTATGTTATTTTAAGAAGAAAAAAAAAAGTCAGTCAGTCACTTAATAGTGTCTGACAGTAAAATCTAGAAAGTAAACGGGTTCCCTTGCGTACTTTAAAAAATAGAACACTGCTAACGTTTACATCTCACAGATAGGACATACGTGACATATTCATAATTCCTGCAAAGTTCTACAGAATTTGATGTTGGTTGCAAGTGGGACATAGTACCTTTATGAAGAAACTATTAACCACTTAAACATTGCTTTGAATATTAAACTATTATTGATATTGACAGCACAATGTCTAGGCAAGGGTACTCTAAATGCGTTTCAACAAACACAACAGACTTTCTACCCCCCTCATTTTTGCCTAGCTATTTGATTCCCTAAATGCGTCACTCGCCTTAACCAGCCGAAACCTTTTTGGTCGCGAATGTGTCTACAGCAATATATATTTGCTTTATTTTCATTAAATCTCGTTTCTATGGCAACATGCAGTGCTGAATATGATGCTCTCGGAGGAAGTTGCATCTCCTGATGACGCCGTAGCCTTGCAGAGCTGGTTCAGTCGCGCGGTTCATAAAGTAAGTCATGCAGTTAGGAGTGGCATCCACACTGGACAGGGCGTGTGCTCGGGGCTTGGTCTTTCTCCAGAAGAAGCTCGTAAGTATAGCCGCAGAAATATAATTATGAACAAAGAATAACAATAAAAATAATGGCAATGATGATAATGATGATGATAATGATAATGGTAATTGATAATAATATTTCGTAAATAATAATTATTAGTATTATCATCATTATCATCATCATCATCATCATCATCATCATCACCATCATCATCAGTAATAATGATACTATCATTATTTCATCATCAGTAATATTACTGGAAATAATTCAAACGTTTGGACCAGGTTCAATATGTGGAGACAGCTAAGAAAGCCAACGGGGTTTATTGGTGCTGCCCCCGAAACATCGTACCACGTACCCATTTCAATCCTGGGTGGGGAGAAACAATGAAAATAAAATGCCTTGCTTAGGGACATTAAGTAAGTGCCTTGATGGCTATTGAACTGACAATCTTAGATTCTCCAGTGAGTGTTTTAAGCCCCCCCCCCTAAAAATAACAATAAGGCTCTTTTATTTCTTCTCATAATAGCCGCCCGGCACATTTTCCAAGGCATCCGGCCGGGCTTTTTTCATGATGGCCGCTAGCTTTTATGCTTATATTTTCCCCCTAAAAAACATTCTTTCAGCAGTATGTTTTTTTCATTAAAAAAACAAACAAAACAAAACAAAAACAGGTGGCCTCAAAAAAAAAAAGGGAGCGGGCGGCGCGGGGACGCTAAACATTATTTTTTGTGTGAATATTTTTCCTAACCAGTCCCCCCTCCTCGTTGCATCATACTTTCAAATTTCATGTATATCTTAGGCGTTAAAATTCTGTCTGCGGTCCCAGAGATGAGAGAAGAGGATCTCAGCGAAGAGGATCTTCGAGCGATCTGCGCTGGTGCACATGCCCTTGGCCGTTAGACTCGGTACGTATTTTTTTAAAACATTATTAACATGAAACGATGTTATTATACTGGTAAGCACTATTTTTTAATTTTTTTTTCTCCGTCGAAAATGGTACCCCGCCCCCTTAAGCACCAGGGGAGGGGGGCCGTCTCCAAATAACGGTAAAATTAACGTGTTTTTACCTATTTTTTTCCCAGGGGAGGAGGCCCTGCCCTCCGGATCCGCCTGGGGGGGGGGGGGGGGGGTGTGGTGGCAAGCCTGGGCAAAACACAACTATAAAAAATCCACCACTTATAAACCTTTAACATGTATTTTGCATTAACAATTTAAATACATGTCAAGTCTCAAGACAATAGTAAGCATTGTTATAGAGTATAATATTGTAGGCCTATACTTAAGTTCTTACTTTGACATTAAAAAAGATACTTCTTTCAGTTTGGATGTTCCTGCAGTATCAGTTTTAGAATTGTTGATGATTGCAATATTATTGTTCAATAGTGGTAAATATGGAGTCATCAAAAGAATTATCTTCTAATAAGAAATACAATATACATGAGTTTGAATTGGTATATAATGCTTCTTTCTTCTCACCGTGTCCCCTCTCCCTTTCTCTCGTTCCCTCTCCCTTTCCCATTCTTTTTCTGTCTCCCTTTCCTCTCTCTTCCCCCTCCCCCTCTCTCTCCCTTTCTCTGTCTCCCTTTCTCCCAATCTTTCTCCTCTTTTTATGTCTCCCGACCTTTCCCCTCTCTCTCCCCTTTTCTCTGTCTCCCTTTTTCCTCCTTTAACCCGTCTTTCTCTGATTCCCTTTTCTCCACACTTCCTCATTGTGTTTTAAATGAAAGATATTGTCTTCTTTTATTTCTCACATAGGAAGGGATCGTGATACAACATTTGGAACGCTTGATGTCGATTCTTCCTCAAGAAACAATGAAATAAAAGCAAGGAATTGTCAACATCCATCATGTTTTTGCAACTTCCTTATAATTAGAATCTTCTTTATCACTCCTGTATTCTTCAAATCCTTAAACCTTGTTAATCCTCTAAAATGAAACGATCGTGAGTGGTTTTCATTATCAATAAATACTTTTCCTTTACCTCCATGTATCCATTCATTATACATCTTTCCACGGTGTTTATAAATATGTAGGGTTAAAAGTACACCAACCTTTAAAATCTAGCATAATACTACATCTTTTCATCATTAGCTTTAAATTAAAAAAATGTTCTCTCTGTTTTGCTCTTTTTTTTCCTAAAGAAAAATACCAATAACAAGACATTGTAAGCATGGTATAAGGGAAATAACTAATAGTATTGGTAATAATGCTGATAATAAAATCACATTAACTTGCATACCATAGCTAGCGTGTTTGTTTTGGATATTTTGTTAAATGCTATAAAACCAGTAGTGTATGATTGATAGAATATTGTTGGCATGCAGGGAAAATACGAAAAACAACAACACTTTGATGAGAAAAGTGTGGGAGGCAAAATTAAAATAAAGTGAAAAGGTTGAATAGAAAAATGAAGAGAGAAAGAGAAGAGGGGGAGCACGGGAGAGCACAGAGCAGAGAGAGGAGAGTTAAAGAAAGAGAAAGTGAGAGAGAGAGAGAGAGAGAGAGCGAGTGAGAAAGAGAGGGAGAGACAGAGAGAGAGATAGAGAGGGGACGTGAGGCAAGGAAAGGGGAATTATGTATACCATAGAGATCTATGTAGATCTTTATGGTGTATACACGCACACACACGAGCACACACGCACGCACACACATCACACTCAATCACTCTTCAATCTCTACCTATCGTATTTCTCTTCTTGCTGTACTTTTGCAATGAACCCTATATTATTATATTTTGTTTGCTTGTATCTAAATTAAGGGGATAACCTAGATAGGTATTTCTACTTTTGTTATTCCTCCACTTAATTGGTTGGACATGTATCGTTTTGTTCACTTTTATTTTATGTTGGGTGGAAATAAATTCAATTCAAAATTCAATTCAGTTCAATAATATTTGTCAGGGGTCACACTTAAGGCATCAAGCTTTGCTTATCTTGGAGCCTTGGCAAATTCTGTATGAACAAGTTTATTTCTCTTTATATGTCTTTTAATTATATTGACTTTATATCATGTTTCAGAACTGAATAATTAAATGAAATTAAGTATTAAAATTCAAATAAATTCCATGACCTACAAATTAAAGTTGTCTTATTGTAATGAAGCTTATCATGAACAATATAAAGCTAGGCTATGACCAACATATATTATTTTATTAAGAACAAATCAATAGACTAAGGACAAATTATATAATTGTAATAGTGGATTGCTTTTCAGAAATCCGAACGAGGACAAGTTTAACACCCTACCCGGGTCTACCCGTATGTGAAGCCGGACATATTCTCAAAGTCGCTAGTTTCGGCATTGATCATTTTGTCAGGCCAAGTCGGAGGAAAGATCGTATGCGGGTTGTTTGTTGATGGATGACTGGCGCTGCGGTAAAGGGAGAACTTAAACAAAAATAAAAACCATTAGTTTGTCGAGGTCATAAGTGTATCCATCATCATTTTGATAATATATGATCTAAATGAATCTTCATGTACATTGACCTATATACTACACCTACCTTCAACTCGGTCATTAAACAAAAAACAAAAAACAAAACAAGACAAATATCCGCCCTTATATATTTATATTTTTACATTTCTCATCGAATAAAAAGTCTCTAAAATCAAAATAGAGTTATCAGTTATCAAAACATCTGGCCAACCCGATCGGTCCTATCAATCATTACACGCGAGCAAGAATGATCAAAGAGGCGTAGATGAGGAAAGTAGTGAGGAATAATATCCATAAAAGGGAAGCCATAATCGGTTCGAGTCATCAATTCAAGAGCTCATCTCACCCGCAACAAGCTGCCTTCAGAACCTTCTCACCAGATTGGTAAGCATCTGTTTTCTACTTTGCAGACTATAATCACAGAACTTTTATTTTAAACCGATCTTTCATTAATATGTATTTTGGCCCATTTCTAAATCTTGTTTTGTTCAAATGGCATATGACTTTTTTTTTTTTTTTATTGTTCACCAATACGATATATATTTTACAATCTGCCTAATAGGTTTATTTGCTTTTAATTTATATCTTTGATGTTTAATGTTTACGCTTGGTTCGTTATGTTTCCCATTGTATATTATAATGATGATATTATTAGTCTTCGGACTACAATCGTGTATCAGTGTATGAAGATATCAATAATGTAGAGGTGTTGTGGTCCTGTGGATGAGTCAATCAAGACCGGATTACCTAATGCATCGTTGTTATGTTCGCACATTTTAATGTTGGACAAGTCTATTGAAATAGGTTTTCAGTTTGATTTTGCGATGGTATTTGCAATCTTACATATTGTAAGCATCACCCATTTGATATATCTCTAAAGTCAGCGGCGTGAGTATCAGATTTTTTATTTCTTTTAATGGCAACCTGCATCGGGCAAATTATAAATTTGTGCCGCCCCTATCCAAAAATCATGAGCTCAAAATATTAACAAGCTTAGTTCTCGTTCATTTCGTTTAGAAATTATAGCAATGTAGTGAATTAACGCTTTTAATCCGGGAATCGGTAACCCAAAGTTTGATAAGTCTAGGAGTTATCCAAGCGAGGGAGGAAAAGCGACCATGTGGTAAAATTGATTGATTGATTCTATTCGTTAAATACTAGGCCTAAGTAAATTTGCATTAGATGAAAAAGACTCAATAGAAAGGAAATACCTCATGCAATAACGCGAGAAAGCGAATCTTCAGAAAATCGTGTTGGAATATAAATAGAATTACACTGATTGGTGGACAATTTTCTTAAGTTTGATACTTATGTCAGTCTGAAAAATATGTAAATTGGCACATTCTGTTAAAATATTTCCAACACAAAAGAATCCTAACGGGTTAGACTTCTTTTATTATATATTAAAATTCATGCAAAATTTGCATTTTCACCTACATAATGGAAAAAACTCCAACCGACGGTGTTTCAGAGTTTAAAAATGAAAAAATACTATTCTATTCAATTCGTCGTACATATATTCTACTACTAGGTTGAGCGTACTCGCACTGATTTGACAAGCTTTTTCTATTCAGTTCTATTCTCCATGATCTTTGGGAGCTCCTGTCTTGGTAGACAGGTTTCTTTTCCTAACTGGTCAATGTAAGTTATTGCTGGGCGCCCTCTGGTGCGTTTGCCCCTTGAGGGCTACCAGAAGAGCATTTGTGAAATAATTTCACTCTTGCTCCTCCAGCAGTGCCCACTGAAACGGAGGCGACGGTCTCTCAGTCTGGCTGAGATCGGTGTAATGTCCCTATACAGTTCAATATTGGTCATATGGTCACTCCAGTTGACATTTAGTGCTGCTCTCAAGAGTCTTGTATAGCAACCATCCAGTTGTTTTGCCAGGCTACTCGTCAATGTCCAGGCTTCCGATCCATAGAGCAGTACAGTTTCCACTGAAGCCCTTAAGAAACGACTTTCAGTTTTCTACCGAGGTTTGATTTCCAAATGGCTGTCAGCTTTTTCAAAGCTATCCAGGCTTTCGCCTTTCGGATATTCAGGTCTTATTTTTACTGATCAACCCACGAGCCAAGATACTGAAAGTCTTCAGCTTTGTCTTGTCAGCAGTACAGATCTCGCCTTCACGAAGGTTGTACATCATGAATTCTGTCTTAGTACTGTTTATTTGTAGACCGATATGGCTTGCTGCAGACTCTACTTGTTCTAGGAGCTTCTGTGCCTTTTCCAGATTGTCTGAGATTAGTGCAATATCATCAGCAAAGTCGGTATCTGTGATCATTTCAGCAGGATATCTGCTACTTTTACTTTCCTGTAGGGTGAAGCCTAGATCCTCGAACCCTTCAGTAGCCATTCTTAGAGCATAATCCAATGTTATGATGAATAGGTATGGTGCTAAGGTATCTCCTTGAAGCACTCCTGCTAAGATGTTAAAGGAGTCAGTCTCTCCATCCGGTGAACGTACTTGAGCTGTGGTATCTTTGTACATCAATCCTACTGCTGTAACTATTGTGTGTGGTATTCCATAGGCTCTTAAGATCTCTAACATCTTCTTCCTATTGATTGAATCAAAGGCCTTCTTAAAATCCACGAACGTAAACACTGCCGTCAGATGCTTTGCTTTAATACCTTCCACCTGTCTTCGCAAAGTTAGAATTTGCGCTACTGTAGATCTTCCTGGACGGAATACATTCTGGTTCTTGCGGAGAAGGGGTTCCAGGTGAGGACGGATTCTATTCAAAAGCATTTTGTTGAATACTTTTGCAGCTACTGGGGTCAGTGCTATATACCACGGTAGTTTTGAGGGGGTACTGAGATCTCCCTTTTTGGGTACAGGGATTATTATGCTCCTAGACCACAAGTCTGGTTTCTCGCCATGGATAAGTGATCTGTTGCATACTTCCAGAAGTTGTTGGTCAAGGGCACCAGACTTCCATACCTCTGCTGGGATTCCATCCACAGCGGGGCATTTATTATTGGAGAGGGAGGTAACTGCCACTTTGAGTTCTCCAATGGTAAATTTGCTTGTTTTGATTGGGAGTGTCTTTTGGACCATCTTCCTTACTGTATTGTTGTTGTCTGGTGGAGGTTGACCAAGTAGATTAGAAAAGTGATCTTTCAACTGGTTTAGTCTCTCTTGTGGTGTTTTACCTCTAAGCTGATCCACTGGGGTCGAGGCCTTTCCAGTGATCTCTTTCACAATATTCCATACTTTCCTAGTCTGCTGTTGGACTGCACCAATCTCTATCTCAGTGCATTTTTGAGCTATGTGACATATATATTCTAGCAATATATTAAGGACGAGCATTTTCGAGAAATACGGAACCAGCAAAATTGGAATAACTCCCAATTCTCGTTTCCTTTGTTCTTCCTTTTTTTAAACAAACAGAAGCTAAACT